AGGGTCACGACAAAACAAGTATAGGCTTGTAATATGTTATCAAATCAGAAAGGCTTGAGGCTCAAATAAGTTTACTAGGGATAACAACATTGGTAGGTAATGGAGAATTCAAGCGGGGTCAAGGAAATCCTACAATCACTTCTCAAGCCAAGCAAAACTTACAATTTCGCCTTGAAACACAATCGGGGGAAGTTCTAGACCATTCGCATGGGTACTTGGACTTGCAACAAAAATATCTCACCTCTCACGCAACTGGATTGTTAAAGAGGATAGAGTCGAGGGCCCACAACGACCACATTCAAGATTGAAAATCACTATGGTTCGATTAAACCACTCAATGATTGCCTAAGTCAACCCAAGAGTCACAAAGTCACTAACTTGAGCTACTTTCCAAAAGACTTGTTTTTAACCATAAGCACGTAGTTAAGTGTGTTGGTACCAAGTGAAGCATGTTTGACTCTTCGAGCATGACTTAATTAGGTCTTTTTATTCATTAATACTACTATTATTACCTAAATACCAAAACAGACTCAGTCTCTTATGAAGGTTGTCACGTCATCCATCGTTGGGAAGAGTCACCCGGTTCACACAAAAACTACATTTGGAAAGAACTGTGGCATTAAGAAAACCAAAGGCTTATTATCTACTGAAACACAAAAAGAAGCTATTAAATCAGAAAGAAACTACTAATTCAAAAAGAACCTAGTTAGTTAAACACTAACTAATAAGAGAACATATGTAAAGAAGCTACAAAGCAAAAACTATCGAAAGCATAATGAATATACATAATGAAAGAATATATATACATAATGAGTGAGAAAAGGAGAGAATATATACAGAATAAGGAAAAGAAGAAAATACTGTCAGTTATTACAAACCAATTGTCTTAGAATCATCAAAATATATTAAATAAACTCCCCCCTCCTCAATAAAAAAAAGCATTGTCCTCAATGCTTAACAAAATAAGAGTAAAGGAAGGGTAAGAGTGAAGAAAACTCCCTATGGATCCTTGGCCATCTCTGTGTCCACAACAGCATCACTTACCTCAATCACATCTAACTGGATCTCATCATCATCAACTCCGGATGTGATTGGGTTGGTGAACATATGACGTACTGCCTCGGCAGTGTCAACAGCAAGATCTGGCTCCTCAGACTGGCCAGTTAGTGTTGTCTGTGCTGTAGGATCTGGGCCTGGGTGGTGCGGGTCAATCAACATGTCAAATGGAATGTCTCCGACTGCTGCAAGCTTGGTAACCTGTCTCCGGAGCTTGTCTACTAACTTCTTGGAGGCTTGGACTTCCACATTTTCATCACTTCCTTGCCCAGCTCTTCTATCACTGACCCATGCAGCACCAAAGTATCCATGATTGTGTTCTGATTCTCCAAAAGCTTCTTTAGAGTTTCTTCAACTGTGGGGGGAATCTGGGGTGCCGGAGTGGAGGACTGTGCTGCAACATTCTGGATATGTCAGACAGCTTTACAGTAGATGTCTACATCCAGTTGTTGAGGCTCGCCAGTGTCTGGGAGACTCGCAGTGCAGATAGTAGAGCAGTGGGCATAGACACCAACTTCAAAGCCGAAGTGGAACCTGTAATGGGGGTTACTGGAGGCACTGAGGCTAGAGGTGAGGGCATAGCTGTTGCACTGGCTGAAGGCTCTGCTGACGTAGATGGCACGTCAACTGTCTCTGCAGCTACCACCGATGGCTCATCAGACTGACTTATAGTGGTAGTCGGCTGACCCTTTTTCTTAGGGTTGTGTGCATTCATTAACGAATACCATGAGAAGGTCTTCTTCTCCTGCACCTTCGTATAAAAATCTCTTGGCTCCACCCATGCATCTATAAGCTACTCAGTAATGGTGTTGGGATACGGGTAGGAGGTATCAGCTTGCCTGGCGACCACAGATATATTGGCGTACATCACGGCACCCACATTGAACGGGTACCCGGGCATGATGGAGACGACTAGAACTGCCCCCTGGATAGGAATATTTGTCTCATTCTAACACGGGTCGAGTCGGCTACATACAAAAGTCCGCCACCCCTTCACCTCAAAACTCAGGGTATTTCTATCAATAGACACCCCTGCGGTAATCTATGGTGGTGGTGACCTAGGAGATGCCAGAATCTCAACTAGCCATGGGCGAGCTGCATCTCTCATTGCCTACTTCTCCAAATACTGTGCGGGCTCACTATCATCAAACCCCAAGTAGGTGTTTAATATTTGCTGGTCAAAATGCACCTTCACGTTTCTCACTTTAGTTATCTTTGTCCCTTTCTTGATGTACGCCACATTGGCGTAGAACTCCCGGACAAAATATTCCTTTGCATCCACTATGCTCTGGGTGAACCACATCCACCCCTTCCGCTCTCAAAACTGCCTCAAGATTGACGGGTTATACTTTTCTAGAACTTGTAATTGGAATTGTCGCTCAAGAGTGAGCGACCTCAACGGCCACCACCCACGAAAGCTAGTGAATGCAGCCAGACTGACAAACCGGTCCTCCCAGACCTCTTTCTTCTTCGACCACTCAAAATCAGCAACTGTAGTATCTCCCCCTCGGCCATCATCTGGGATGTCATCAACTGTAGTCGCTGGTGCCTCAGGGACAGGTGTAGAAGAGGTATCGGAAGCCTAACTAGCACTTTTCGAACCCTCGAAGGTGTTATGTGATGTGGAAGGCTTGTCCCGGAGTTGATACCTACCTGTTGGATTTGATTGGACAACCGACAGCTCTTGAACCGAGTTGCCCCTGATGTTTTTCTAGACGGGGCATAAGAACTAGATTCGGAGGGCTCTGCATTTCTCCCTCGGTCGGTTGTAGCCTTCTTTGTGATTATCTTTTGGAGGGCGAGGGGTAAAGCACTCTTGCGTTGACCCCTAGAAGGTTCACCCCTCCCCTTTGATGTATCATCTCTTCCTCGAGATCTAACCATTTTCCTTAACAAGCAACATCATGTGTCAGATATAATTCAAGTGCAAATATAAAAGAACACACCAGAGAGACAATGAACAATACAGTGGAAAATATGCTTGCAGGGTAGGGGAGTGTGGTCCGCATTACAATTATTGCGGCCGCAGATTGGGCATTGTGAACCGAACAATTTAATCTTGTGGACGCAGAATTGGTATCACGACCCAATTTCTCCCTCCGTTATTTAATGCTTGTTTATGGTTGGGTGTTTATTATTTAGCTTTGTTCATGCTTTAATTTATAAAATTAATGGTTGCAAATATTAGTTCATGCCTATTTGACTTAGTCTATACTTGAGAAAGAGAGACTTAATCTAGGACAACTCGGCTAACAAGAAATTGGGTCAATCGAGAGATTGATAATCCCAATTAAAAGGTTTAACCTAGAGATAGTAATAACCCGACTTGAGTTTTTATCAACCGTTTTGTGCAATTCTCATTTGGACTTGAGAAAGCCAAATTGAGAAACATCACTCTCTGACTGAGAGGTATTGAGTGGGTAATTGAGAGTTGATAGCTATAATACACCCCGATCAATAAAACAAGCATTAAGGTTTATATTCCATTAGGCAAACACCTAGGTGATGGTCATAGTCCTAGGATTTTACAAAACTTGAAAAACAACAAAAAAGAATTCTCTTAGTTTTATTTCTTAACTTTGCTATCATAGTTTTAAATAAGACATAGAAACAACCCAATTTTTTGGAAATATAAATTAAGATAGTCAAACTCACACACTACAATATATACTCCTAACTCCCATATATAGCTCCCTGTAGAAATCGATCCCGACTCTTGTTGGGTACTATTATTGCAATTGGCCATTTCATAACCTTGATTTGAGGTATGAAATTGGACGAGATCATTATGCCACTCCATCAGTTATAGGAGACAAATTCCAGCCCAGGACACTAGCATGTGCCATGATGGGGTAATTAACAATCCAAAAGAGGTACCCGTTATTTGATCTTACTAACAAAACTTTCTTTGTTAGCAGGATTATCACCTTTAGAGAAAATGTCTTTCCCTTCAAGTCCACAAGTGTTGACAGAATTCCCTTATTTGCTCCTAGTCAATACGCACTTGATGAAGATGTTACTCTGCCAATTGTTTCTCAGAATGGTGAATCAACTGTTGCTGAAGGGAATATTGAACCAGATGATGCTGGAGGTCCAGATAATATTCAGGGAAGCTGCACACTATGACAATGACAGTAATAGAGAATCACCACCTCTCTACCAAGAAGATGACATGGCAGACATGCCATAGAATCATCACATCTCTACCAGAAAAAAAAAACAAAAGAAATTTCAATTGACAACAATAAAAAATATTTTAAAAAAGGACTTGTGTTGGATTGGCACTACAAATCTAATCCAAATAAAAATAGATACAAAAAAGTATAGATGGGAGAATAAATTAAGTGGAAAACAAAACTACAATTTATTTAGATTTATTTAATCCAGAATAGATTCAATCAAGTTAAGTGAGATAAGCAAACTTGATTTCTTTTTTAGTTTTAGTAGAGTTCCAATGAAAAATGAAAAACCACCCAATTGAAATAAATGCCCGAATTTTATATTTCGAGGATCAATAAAATAAGAAGTTTTGTCGTTATAGAACACAGAATTCAATGGAAGCAATGATAAAAAAAATACAAATAGAAAAGGAAAGGGAGGAAATACAAAAAAATAGAAGAGAAAAGTCATACAAAGTTATATACAAATGACTACCCCCTTTTTTGTATTTTCTTAATTTATTTCCTTAATTGAATTTCGGTTGATTAGGACGGAGTTCCTTAAAAACCTCCGCCTTCTTTAAAATATCTTTTAAAATATCCTGAACAGTTCCTGTAGGTTGAGCCCCTTTTTCAAGGAAATATAAAATAGCAGGAACATTTAAATAAGTTTGATTCTTTATCGGATCATAAAAATCCACTTTTCGAATATCTTTTCCTTCTCTTCGGGATCGAACATCAATTGCAACGATTCGATAGACGACTCATTGGGATAGATGTAGATGAATGGCAGACATGCCATATGCAGAACCTGCTATTGGAGAAGCAACTGAACATGTTGATTATGCAATAGAGATTGTAAATGGAGACATAAGTTGTGAAACTGGAGTTGAAGTTGCACATCCTTGGCCAAATCACAATGCTCAAGATTGAGACTATTCTCTGAGAAGGTCTTCTAGGGACAAGGCTCCATCACTTTGGCTAAAAGATTATGTAGCTACACAAGCTTCTAGTTCATGTGTTTACTCATTAGAAAAATATCTGAGCTATGGAGGACTGTCATCCAAATACCAATCACATATAGCAGCCTACTCAATACGTGTTGAACCTACTTCTTTCAATGAGGCATCACAGGATCCTAAATGGATTGATGCAATGAAAGGTGAGTTGTCTACTCTGGAGGAGAACAAGACTTGGATTATTACACCTCTGCCACTAGGTAAGAAAGCAATAGGATGTAAATGTATTTACAAAATAAAGTACAAAGCGAATGGAACAGTTGAAAGATACAAGGCAAGACTAGTAGCTAAAGGGTATAATCAGAAGGAGGGTCTTGACTACCAGGAGACTTTTTCTCCTGTTGGCAAGATGGTTACAGTGAGGGTGGTTATATCTATTGCAGCAGTTCAAGACTGGTTCATCGACCAGATGGATGTGCACAATGCCTTCCTACAGGGAGACCTTTATGATAAAGCATGCATGCAGATTCCTTAAGGTTTTGCTAGTAAGGGGGAGTCAGGCATGGTATGCAAGCTTGTTAAGTCCCTTTATGGACTAAAACAAGAATTAATGCAGTGGAATGTGAAACTTGTGGAGGCACTAGTACAATCAAGATTTGTACAAAGTCAACTAGATCATTCTCTGTTGACAAGGAAGATTGGACAAAATATAGCAGTGGTTCTTGTCTATTGATCACATACAATGACAAAGACTTAGTCTTAGAGACAAAAGGCATTCTACAGCAAGCATTCAAGATAAAAGATTTAGGAGAATTGAAGTTCTTCCTAGAAATAGAGTTTGCAAGATCCAACCAGGGAATTCTTATGAATCAAAGGAAGTATGCTTCACAACTTATATCAGATTCAGGTTTAAGTGGAGTTAGACCAGCATGGACTCCTCTAGAGTGCAATCTAAAGTTAACTATCAAAGAATATGACAATCATATGGGAAAAAAGAAGATGAACTCTTGGAAGATGTTGCCTCATATCAAAGATTGATAGGCAAACTATTATACCTCATCATGAAAAGGCTAGATATAAGCTTTGCTGTACAAACCTTGAGTCAGTTCTTACAACAACCTAAGAAGTCTCACATGGAGGCAACACTGAGAATAGTGAGGTACATTAAGAGAGAACTAGGAATGGGTGTCTTATTGTTAAGCAAACTAACAACTCAGCTCAATGCCTACTGCGATACTGATTGGGCCTCATGCCCAAACACCAGATGATCAGTGACAAGGTATTTGATAAAGTTTGGAGAGTCATTGATATCCTGGAAGCCAAAGAAGCAAACAACAGTCTCCAAAGGTTCAGTAGAGGCTGAGTATAGAGGGATGGTTTTTGTAGTGTTAGAGGTTGTTTGGCTAATCAGACTATACTCAGAACTTGGTGTCCACTTGACTTTGCCTGTGACACTACTATGTGATAGCAAGGAAGCAATTCAGATTGCTGAGAATCCAGTTTACCACGTGAGAACAAAGTATATAGAAATCGATTGCCACTTCATAAGGGAGAAGGTTTAGAATGGAAGTGTAGCACCAAGTCATGTGCAATCAAGAGAGTAACAGGCATATATTCTAACAAAAGGACTTGGCAGACCACAACACGAGTACTTGGTTTCCAAGCTGGGATTGTATAACATCTTTGCACCCTCTAGCTTAAGGGGGAGTAATGAGACTAGTCATGTGAGGCCAGGGTAGTTGAGTATAATTTACTTAAGTTAATGGGTGTATATGTAGTATTAGAAGTTAGTAACTACCTACATGTGGGTCAACTGTTAAATGTTAGTTAGTGGTGAGATATGTGTATATATATGCACTACAGTATAGAACAAAGATGTAATTCATTCTTCTCTTTGCTGAATGAAAGAAGAAGTTGTTGAGCTCAAACTTCTCTCCTCAATTTCATCATCATCATCATATATATATATATATATATATATATATATGTTGTATTTACCCTCCAAAATAACGAATACACTCAAATTCGGCCAGATATGAGAAATACAAGAAATAAAATATACTCAAATCTGAGAAAATCCGGTCAGTTGGCCATGGTTTCCGGCCAGAGATGACGATAGTAGTGGAGGTAATGACGAAGCTAATCTAGTACTCGAGTTTTTCGACGGGTTTAATTAACGAAGGCAGTGAGTAATTGGTCTTCATTGGCATAAGAAAATACAGCGATGGAAAGAAATAAACCCAAGAAAATTAGTGGGTGATGTTGGAATCATGTTTTGTTAACCTCCCAAAAGACTGTAAAATAATTACCTTTAGTAGTGCTGATGGAAAAATTGGGAGGGGAAAGAGTAAAAGCATCAAACATGGTGCGCCATGACAAGGAAGAGAGCTTGAGGGAAGAGGACAATTTGGACAAATACCTGATGACCCATCTCTCTTGAAGTCCAGATCGGGAGAAATAAGGGAGAAGAAGGAAATACAGGGAAAAGAGAGAGGATTGAGGGATCACTATTATATATTTATACTTTGCTATAAAATATAAAAAGTGACTATAAATAATAATATTTTTAAAATATTTTTGTTTATAATAAATATGATACATTATTTAGCTATAGCATATAAAATTTCCTTAATTTAACACATTAATAAGTTCAACAACTTGGGCCGGTCTATCACGCCCAATGCCTTATTTGGCCCAAATCCACCACCCATGCCAATCGGGAATTTTATTTGGGACATGGATCGACCCGTCCCACATGACATGCTTACTTGCGATATCGCGATTAGTTCCAATATTATAATGTTAATTTTGGTTAAAAAATTAAGAAAACCAATTATGCATTTATCTTTATGATTTCTCATGACCCCTCCAATTCTCCCTGCGCCTTGAGCCATCTTTATTCAATTTATAGCAATCTTTTCTAGGTGAAACCCATTCTATATATATATATATATATTTATTCTAGTTGTTTTACATGTAGTTTAAAGATATTCATTTTGTGTAATTAAGTAGAGAGTGTTCTTTTAGCGATCGAAACTAGTTTTTGGATGGTGAATAGTTGTATTTGGTAACTAGTTTACATCATTTGTATTGATCAGGCCAATAATTATTAAAGAAGGAAGGATTTATGGACCTGACATTGCAAGTTGGCTTGGGTGTGTTACTAGATTTTAGGAAGAAGGGAGGAGATACCTTTTGTATTTTCATCACATAATCATGAAAAGGACGTCCAATAATTTTTTGCTCTTCTTGAAGGTATGTAATACTAGTATTTGTTAAGCTTCTTCTCACAATTCTCAATTAAGTTCCACGGATACACAACGGGAAAGAAAGACAAATTTTGATACAAATTTTGATCTTGAATCAACATAACTTTGTGTTATGGTACTAATTTAGGAGTTGCAAAGAGACAATAAAAAATCGATAAAAAAAGAATTATTTAGATTCAAAATTCCAAGGTGTATCATATTTTTCATGATTCACATTTATCATGACGATTGATAACTTAAAGCAAACTCGAAATTTTTACTATATATCCACATTAATGCATCTCTCAGAATGTATATAACAAGGTATTAACTGAATAGCTACTTGAACGCATTGTATTTTAACCACATCAGGATAATTTCTCAAATCGAGATTCAAATTGTCTATCAATGACGAGACATTTACAAAAAGGAAAGCTAGATTTTCCGATGATCGATCCACATGCACAACCCTATACATGGGCACATAGGCGGAACTAGTATTTCAATTTTATGGGTTCGGAATTCTAATCCTTTTAAGTTACTAGGTACTAAATTAATAATTTGTACATATTCGATATATTTTTAAAGACAAATATAAGATTTGAATCAAAGATATTGAGTTCGGCCGAACCCGCTCCCGGTACTCCAGCTCCGCCCTGCATAGGCGCATGGGCATCACCTTCCAGTATGCACAACGTAACCCTATACATGGGCATCACCTCTTGTTGCAGATCACTTGCACAAATTAAATCACTTTCTCTACAGACCCTTCATTCAAGGCATGCATCTAAGAGGCAGCAACAACACATAGCAGCCAAACTACATAATAAATTAATAATCATTAGCCCTTTTTTCGCTCATGAAAAACATCAAATTACAAGCTAATAAGAGAATGGTATTCGGGAAGGAAGGCAAATTAATTTGACGTGCTTCAATATTTATATTTTTATCACTGAAATCGTACCACTGTACTTTAAAAACTAATTATACGTATGACCGCTCAAGAATAAAGCGCACCCAAGAGTTAAAAGGCCTCCCGTAATATTGCTATTATTATTTATATTTGGTACACACGGGTATTATAAGACAGAAATTATAGTATATGACAAGTAAATATTACACAATAAGAAAGCCATTTTTGTCAATACACTACCTTGCTTTTTGTTGTTTAAGTAACATATAAGAAGATTTGAGTAATTTAATTTAAATTCTAAAATATTAGAAAAAGTTTTATTGTTGAAAACATGAAAAATTGAAATAAGAATTTAAAATATTAGAAATGGGATTTACATTCCTAATATCATAACCATGCAAGGAACTAATAAAGTTTTTTTTTTATTAATTGAAAAGTTAAATAATTAACACAAGTAAATATGAAAGTTTTAAAATTAATTGTAATATTTTAACAAAGATTGTAGTTTTTTTGTGGTAAATAATTATGCATTAAATAGAAAGGTTAAATAATGAATACAAGAAATCCAACATGCAATACTTATGAAGGGTAATGAAGTTGATCGACATTTAATTTTGTGTTAAATAGAAAGGTTAAATAATGAATACACGAAATCCAACTTGTAATACTTATGAAGGATAAAAAACTCGATAGACATTTTGTGTTGGATTTTCATGCTTTAGATAATAGTATAAATAATATATAATTTTTATGCAAAAGGTTTTGATTTAAAAAAAAAAATTGGTTGAGATTGTTCAACTGAATGAATAAATTAAGTTAAGTTTCTATCTCTCATTAATTAGTACATATACCTACCCTACTGGTTCTGATTTTTCCTTCTTCGCGTATGTTCTATCTTTTTTCTTTTCTGTGTTTATCTTGATTTTGACAAGAGTGGGTTACTCTAGTGGTGAGCATCCTTCATTTCCAACCAAGAGGTTGTGAGTTCGAGTCACCCCAAGAGTAAGGTGGGGAATTCTTGGAGGGAGGGAGCCGAGGGTCTATCGGAAACAGCCTCTCTACCCCAGGGTAGGGGTAAAGTTTGCGTACAAACTACCCTTCCCAAACTCCACTAGTGGGATTATACTTAGTTGTTGTTGTTGTTGTTTATCTTGATTTTATTTTTCAATTTTTACTTGATTTTTCTATTTCTCTCCAAAAAAAAAAAAATACTGAAAGAATTAATTTTATAGTTTTGCATCTCAAAAATATTAGAAAAGTGAACTTTAAATAAAAATATGCATTAGTTTTATTAAAAAGTTTATGATACCTTATTAGATTAAGAATGTGATATTTTTGTTGAACTTGAGTGATACTTTTCACGTTTATATCTAA